TTCCGAGTATCTTTGGTTTGGAACAGTCCGGCTGGCAAACTGTACAAGGTGGGGACTCGGCAGGCAATTTCTAGGAGTATTACTTGCTGAAACGCTATGCCACCGTCCCTCTTTGCTAGAAGCTGGAAGCACACCGGGCTTTTAGACTACTACAACTGCGTCTACGAAGAACCAGATGAAGATGATACAATGTCCGCCGAGCTTGCGACGATGTTATCTCGTCTGCACGTTGACTTCAAATGTATTCCATTTTACGATTGAGGGGTGATAGGGAAGGGTTTGTAGGGAACCGCTAATTTATTGCTATTGAGAAGTATTCCATTTCTAGGGATTACTACCGAAGGGATCGTCTGTACATGCACCAAGGGGCTACTTCAGCAGCGTCGCCAGTGCAGATTCTGCGGCTACGGAGAAGGGGCTGGAGATGCGTCGGCGAAGGGGCCCCAAGCATTTGAAACATAATATGATAGATTGATTTGCTAGCTCTCAGAGCTTTTGTTTGAAAATGTTTTCTAAATAATTTGTATCAGTACATGTAATTGTATATCTAAAATATAAAGGGGTTGTACATATAAGCGTATCGCACCTAACAAATATTTATGTACTGTATAGGAATTGCCTTTAACTGTGTTAATAGTTGCTTTGGAATAGCAGCCAATTTAAAATACGGATAAATCATTAATTAACTATGCTACCCAGTATTTAAGTATGATGTAAAGTACTCCGAAGCACTGCATCAATTGGGATGGGGCGCACACACCGAAACGTTATATTGATTACGCGGCAGTTGGGGTACTGTCAGCTTTGTTGAAGCATTCATAATCCTTAAACTGATCAACAGCGACAGGATGGTTGACATTGGTAGTCATAAACGTACGCTTGCAAACCAGTTCACTTGATTAGCATTTTTCAAAATTCGCCAAACCCCTCAGTCCTCTCCAGCAATGAAGCTTCCTATCGCCATTTTGGCCGTCGGCCTTAGCACGACTGCGATTACCGGGACGGAGTTTTGTGGCGAGTGGAACTCCACGGAAACCAGCGACTACATTCTGTACAACAACTTGTGGGGGGCATTTGACGACCCCAACGGCAGTCAGTGCACAGGACTCGACAGCGTCGATGGCTCAACTATCGCTTGGCACATGAGATACAATTGGGCTGGGACTCCATATCAAGTGAAGTCGTTCCCTAACGCTGCACTCAAGTTCGACCCCGTGCAGCTGTTGAATGTCAAGTCAATCCCTGCCACCATCGAGTATGAGTTCGAATACAGTGAGAACACCATCGCGAATGTTGCGTTCGATCTCTTCACGAGGTCGACCATCGATGGGGCTGTCGAGTACGAAGTCATGGTGTGGCCGGCGGCCCTCGGCGGTGCTTTGCCTTTGTCGACGTCGGGTAAGCCAATCAAGACGACAAATATTGGCGATGTGGATTTCACCCTCTACCAGGGCATGAACGGAAATATGACTGTGCTCTCGTATGTTCCCGACAAAATGATAACAAATTTCTCCACCGACCTTAAGAAGTTTTTTGACGAACTTCCGAAGAGCTACGCTATCGCCCGAACGCAGTACTTGACGCACGTGCAGGGTGGCGCGGAGATCCTCGTTGGCAATGGTACGTTAACGGTGTCCAAGTACCAAGAGGCAGTCCACACGACTAAACACAATTCTTCCAAAATGACTACTTAGTCAACGCGTCAGCCACCAACAGAGACGCAAACGCCAATACTAACCAACGGACGCTTGTATTGAAGAAAGTCGCTCTTTGGGGAGATTGCGACTTTAAGAACGAATCTTTTGAAAACAGTTTTCGTATTGTTGTCCCGTTACGGATCCGTTGATCATTTAGGGGCTTCCAACTTGCAGTTTGCAACTCGAGTGTCTTGCTCCTACAAGTTTTATTAATGATACAAGTGGCGGCGCAAGATTGCAAGAAGGGGCAATGCTGTAATCCATACACTAGTACTTTTATTAACTTGAATTTTTTTTGAAATTTACTCAGCTCATTAAGCGTTTAATATCCGCATCCACTAGTAGTTGAGTGTGGAAAGGAGCAACTTCAGGCAAATCACAGGAGGTGCTGTCCAATCCATTGCAAGTACATGTATTGAGAGATCAGTAGAATAGCGCTGCCGGTTCTTGCGCCACTCCTCAATTTGCCCTCGACCGCCCATCGTCAACCAGATGAAGCCTTTTACTGCCCTCACTGCCGCTGCAATCGCCTACGCCTCCGCTGAAACGGAATTCTGCGGTGAACAGAACAAAACTGAGACTGCCGACTACATCCTCTACAACAACCTCTGGGGTGC